GACTCTAAATCATTGCTTTGCTGCTACAAGTGTTTGTTTTAGTTTTGACTACTCATCCATCTGCGTGCTTTACATTTTATACATCTTTGTGTATGTTCCTCCAATAGATACTTTCCTTTGAAGGCATTATTCTAATAACATGAACACATTCACTTTGAGTTTTAAACTCTTGTACCACAATCTCTTTTTTCCTCTTAAAAAGTAGTGAATTTTGTCCCAATGACAAAATTATTCATCATTTCATCACAACTCTGAATAATACTTCATTTGAAAACTATTATCTCTTCCATTTTATAATTGCGCTAACCTGTATGGTTCCAAGTTGCTAAAGGCAAAAATGACAATATTTGTTAATATTTGAAAATAGGCATTGGGCCTTTGGGAAGTCAGCCAAAAATATGAAATTAAAATCTGACTTTAAATTTTTTGAAAATGTAAAATTGATATGCTTTTTCTAACAAGTTATACATAGAAATCCAAATTTTATTTTGTTAATTGACCTTTAATTGTATAGAATAGTAAAATGTTTTGTAGTTATATGAAGTGGAAAGAGACATAATAAGACACATTATTATATACTAACACAAAAATCCCCCTGTGATAATAGCTTGCTAGTTTGGACTACATTTCATTTCATTTTGCAGTGAATTTTAAAGTTTTTATTTTTTAGACTTCTGATAAATGTGAACAGCAATCCATATACATATAGGTGTAAAAATAATTTTAACAATAACCAGCTGTGAATTTGTCCATTGGGGTTAAGTAGCAACTTGTAATTGCTTTCTGGATCTTAAGTCATTTGCCCTATTGAATACTTAAATAAATCATCAGGGAAAAAAATGTATTTCATGCATATTGCTGTTTAAGTGTTGCATAATTTAGCAGTTCTAAACAACCATTGCTACTTTTAAAAAGAAAAAAAGTAGTGAGGGGCTAGAAATTTTTGGTGTGGGGAGGAAAGGAAAAAATTACTTCTAAACTCTGTTGATGGCCCCGTTTATTTTGCTTTAGATCTATGTGTGTGGTATAGTCGTGGTAAAATGTAATGAGTTGTGGTGAAAACATTAGTAACCATAATACACTGCTGGGTAGTTTATTAATCAGAGGTACCATGGAGAATAAAAGATTAGAGCTAGAGATTAGATAGATTCAATGAGGCTCCTCTGATGCCATGAAATGGGAGAGTCATTTAGTGTTTTCGGGCTTCAGTTCGTAAAAAAAGTCGGTGGACTAGATTGATAATTTGGTTCTTCTCCACTGTAGACTCTCTAAGAATCAGTATCACTCCAAAAGTGAAGTCTTACTGTTGTATGCTTTGAGCAACAAGGTGCATAGAGCTAAGGGTTGGGAGGATGTTCCTTACGATTTTTTGAGCATGGCATTTAATATTTTATAGCAAAGTTTTTAGTTTAGCATAATTGAACTTGTACTAGATAGGGTTAATAGACTAGAACAAAAGGTCAAAGCATAAGGCATTAGGCTTAATTAAGGGAGAGCAGGAGTGGCAGGAGTGTGTGACAGTTAAATGGGTTTCCCACAGACTAATGTCGGTTACAGTGCAACCATGCCTCAACTTAAGTGGGTTATTTTGTGCAAAGGGCAGCAGTGATTAGCAGTTTGACATGCCAGACACTTCTGGCCAATCCCATCTGTTTTAGAGGTTAAAAAAGCACACCTTTATGAGCTGATGGATTGATTTGTGTGCCCGTCTGGTAAAGATTAGAAGTCCAAGGCCAATGCAGTAAATGTCAGTTATAGAATATTGTACTTTCCTCCTTGGCTCATTGTTTTAACCGCCAACTGTTTTATAATGGGAGATAATTGCTATTTATGGAATTGAATGCAAGATGGGTGGGGGAACAGGTGAGAGAGGAAGAAAAATATTTCCTAAATGGAATTGTGAATTAACATATTCTCTAGCAGGTATTTCAAATGGAGAGATGGTCTACTCTAGATAACACTTGATTTTATGGAGTGTTTATGGCTTATTCCCTATAGTTGGAGTCACATAGTTCTTTTCTGAGTGTTACCTAAGCAACCCTGTCAGTCCAGGATTTAATTTTATATACTCAACTGGTAAGTACTCAGGTACCTCTTTTACAGACTAATGGATAGTTTACCTCCAAACCATCAAATATATTTAAGAAATGTAATATTTTGTTCATTAACCTCATGGGGAAGAGGAAGGGAAAAGAAAAAATAGAAAGACACACACACGTGGCTTTGTGGGCAGGATTTACTAGGCTCACCTGAGGTTGATGCATTGTGTTAAAATTAAGTGTGTCTAAACCTAGACTCAGAGCTATCTCTTTATTTAACTTTGAGATCTGTAAGAGTGATGCCATTAATATAGTTTATTTTCAGTTCAAGGTTGTAGCCCATTTAAAAATACGCAAAGGCTTTAACACATCCATGAAAAGGAAAATCCTAATTTTATGTAGATGAATTAGAGCTTAGGAATTGTGATCATAATCAATGAGCTTTAGGAGTATAAAGCTTTCAGTCTTTTGGGTGGACAGAGGAAGTATTTGAGAAATAACAAAGTTATCTTTATCATCAAATTACTACCAACCTAAAATTTGAATTCAGATAAAAATATAACCAAGAACATTGGAAATAATATTAGAAGATTTTGATTGGCCCCCTTGCTTTTATACTTCTCAAAGTATGTGAACCATGAATTGCCTGTTACATAATTATGCAGATTACAGTTGACCCTTGAACAACACCTGGGGTTAGGTGTGCCTTCTCCCTCCCTAATTGCTCCCCCCCAGTTGAAAATCCTGTATAACTTTTGACTCCCCATAAACTTAAGTTGTCCTTCATTATCCTCAGAGGATTGGTTCCAGTACCTCTGTGGATACCAAAATCCACAGATGTTAAAGTCTCTTATATAGAATGGCATACAGTTGGCCCTCCACATCCACAGATCCTAATTGTGGATCAAAAATAGTACAGGTATTTATTGAATATAAATATCTGTGTATAAGGGGATCCACATAGTTCAAACCCATGTTGTTCAAAGGTCAACTGTAGATATATTGTATTAGACCTTGAATTGCTTTTTAAAGAAAGAAAATTAAAATATCTAAACAGGATATGGTCACTGAACGTTACATGTGATTCATAATAGTAACTAGTATCTTTAAAAATATTTTTTATTTTACTACTGAGAAATTCCAAAGGAAATTGGCTTAACTTATAAAGAGAAATTAAGGTGTTTATTTCTCATTTAGAAAAGACAAAGTAACATCATATTATTGGAGTTTATTTAGGATTGTGGTACTTAAATATGTATTCATCCTGTGTTTTTTGTGGAGTAGCATCAAATGAAACAATTTGGATCCATTATAGATTTACACGATAAAGGTCTTGCCCTTCTACCAAGGGAGAGAAGGTATAAAGGCATAAATTTTATAATACTGTTTCTCTTTCATTAAATCATTTCTAAATTGCAAAAGATTGGCTTGAGTAGTATAAAAGTACTTGTGTAGTAAAATAAATAATGGAAATTTATCTAATTTAATGGACACATACTTCTTAAATGAATTTCCTGGTGATATTATAATAAACCAAAAAAAATTGGCATTCTACATTTGTGCCATTATGACAAACATTTTTAGTGTAACCTAGATTCCATTCTTTATAGTTTCCTTCCCTTTTCTCCAGTAAACTCAAGTGCCAATAATACCTCGTTTGTGTTAGAATTTTACTAAACTGAAGGAAAATATTTTGTAGAGTTAACTTGTTTTTGTGTGTTTTGATATATTCTGAGGTTTTTGAAAAATATATGTTGTCCCTTATAATCTATGGTCGTTAATTTCTGTCATTTTATTGTGCTTCCTTAGTTTTACTAATGTGGCATTATTGGCTTTGAGACATGCATGTTAAGTCTTCTGCTCCTCTAAGCAAATTAGTTGGACATATGCTTATTTAGGTTAAAAAAAAAAAAAAGCAAAAACTCTTAATATACAGATGCTCCTCAACTTATGATGGTGTTACATTCTGAAAAACCCATCGTAAGTTGAAAATACATTCAATACCTAATCTACTAATCACCATAACTTAGCCTAACCTACCTTTAATGTGCTCAGAACACTTCCATTAGCCTACAGTTGGGCAGTTATCTTGAGTTTCATCTCAAAAGTCATTGCCTTCCTCCTTTTCCCACTAGAAGCAGAAGACACAAATGAACATTTTGTAGACCTGATGGGATGTGAAAACAAAACACAATATCCAAAAAATGCTGGCAGCACAGTACACTGTAAAGTATCAGTTGTTTACCCTTGATAGCTGGCTGACTGGGAGCTGCAGCCCACTGCCACTGTCCATTGTCACAAGGGAGAGAGTATCATACAGCATTTAGCTAGCCCAGGAAAATACCAAAATTCAAAATTTGATGTATGGTTTCTACTGAATGCATTTAGCTTTTGCACTATTGTAAAGTTGAAAAAAATGATAAGTTGAACCATCAAAAGTCAGGGATTGTCTGTACTTAGGATGCTGTTTTTTCAGTTCTTGTCCTAAAATTTTTATAGCTTCGTAACCTGAATTTTAGTTGTTAGCAATTTTTATGAGACACTGGAAAAAAAGAATTGCCCTATTTCATGTTTTGATTTTAAATGTTGTTAGGGTATAGAATTGTCATTTGTCTCTATTCAGGCAGATTGGTGTTAATAAGGAAACCGTAATATGTGATAAACTTATTTAAATATATAGTCTTAGTATATATTTATATTTGTAAAATTAATGTGTTTATATGTAATACATTTCAAATAGAGATGTACCTGTTAATTGCACTATGCATTTGGTGTCTCCTAATGAGGGAGGGAGAAGGTGCTACCACACTGTCTTAAGTAGATCATTCCTCCTGGGTAAATTGCATCATTTTCCTTGTTTTATAATTATTTATTTATTTATTTTATTTTAAAAAGAGGAAGGGAGAGGGAGGGAGAGAGAGAGAAACATCAGTGGTGAGAATCATTGATCAGCTGCCTCCTGCACACCCCACAACCCGGGCAGATGCCCTGGCTGGGAAACGAACTGTGACCTCCTGGTTCATAGGTTGATGCTCAACCACTGAGCCATGCTGGCTGGACATACATTTTACTTTTTTGTAATGTGACCTTGAGTCAGTGACTTCAGCCCAGAATAGTTTCAAAGTCATGTAAATAAAAGCAATTAAGGTATTATTTATCACCTTACATAGTTCAGATGGGATCTTATTGGATAGAGAGGTTTGTTTGCTTTATGTGGAAGGTCAGAATAAGGTTAAATTTTATTACGTAAAATGATTTGGTGATGTTTTTATTTAGCTGCTGAAAAAGTAGTGTCCTAATAGGAAATGATTTGGGGCCAAAAAATAAAACCCAAACCCACAAAAAAAAAACAGCAACACATTTTTTTTTAAAGCAGTAGGAAGTCTCTTCAAGGTGTTTGTGTGTTTGTTTTTTCTAATAGTTATAATTCTACTTTAAGGTGATACTTTCTGTCTTCTAAAGTTTGGGGAACATTGTGCCTTTAGTGTTGATACTTTTTTTTTTTTTTTTGCTGACAATGCTTTATTGGACGTCATGAATACAACTGACATGGAAATGAAGTGGATACAGTCATGCCCAACTGACATGCAGTTCACAGTTAATTGTGAGAGTTTGAAAAGTTAACAAGTGTGATTAGCATTTTTCATAAATATATTGATTTCTGAAAAACATTTTTAGTAACTACTTAGTTTAAAAAAATACATATTGATCAAAAGGAAAAACTCAAAATCTATTAAGTGGATAATCCCTAGTGTTGATTCTAAGTATTTTGACTTACACATATAAGTGACATTTCCTGCTGCAGATGGAGGGTAGCTTAGGAGCTGCCAATATGTGCTTAGGGGATTTGTGTTAATGTCCATTTATCATGCCAATGGGGTGTAGGACCTCAGACAGTAGGACTGGAGTCCCAATTCACCTATAAAGAGACCTGCTACCCAGCTAGGCTAATTGTCTATAGGGGTTGGCAGAGCATTGACATAGATAAAGGGTGTCCCAAAATTCACACAAGAAGTAATTTTGATAGAAAACACAGGTTTATAATTGTAAATTTTTATTGATTCATAAAGTATACAGTATAGGGGTTATGTATGGAATAGCACATCGGGCAAAATATCCACAACGTGTCACTGTTTGGTGTGGAATTTTGGCTGGAGGCATCATCGGACCATTCTTCTTCGAAAATGCGGCTGCTCAGGCAATAACAGTTAATGGTGCTCGCTATCTCAACATGATAATCCAGTTTTTTGTGCCTAAATTGCAAGATATGGATGTGGACGACATATGGTTTCAACAAGATGGTGCCACATGCCATACAGCCCGAGAAACAATTCAATTACTGCATGAGTCATTTTCTGGTCGTGTAATTTCCCGTTTTGGTGATCAGAATTGGCCGCCCAGATCATGGGATTTAACGCCGTTGGACTTTTTTCTTTGGGATTTTTTGAAGTCTAAGGTTTATGCCAACAAGCCCACGACCACCCATGCCTTGATGGAGGAAATGGAGCTCTGTATCAACGAAATTCAGCCACATTTATGCAAAACGGTCATGGAAAATTTCAACAAAAGAGTGCGTATGTGCCAGCAAAGCCGTGGAGGCCATTTACCCGATATGCTATTTCATACATAACCCTATACTGTATACTTTATGAATCAATAAAAAATTTACAATTTTTCATTATAAACCTGTGTTTTCTATCAAAATTACTTCTTGCGTGAATTTTGGGACACCCTTTACTTGAAAAGTCTTGCTGATGAAGAACTGAGGTGGGGGGGCGGGGGGAAGATGAGAGAGAGAAAGAGAAAGAATGAAGTAATTAAAAGAAAGGCAAGTATGCTTGGCCAGCATAGCTCAGTGGTTGATCATCGACCTATGAACCAGGAGGTCACAGTTCGATTCCCGGTCAGGGCACATGCCTGGGTTACGGGCTTGATTTCTAGTGTGGGCTGTGTAGGAGGCAGCTGATGAATAATTCCTCCCCCATCATTGATGTTTCTCTCTCTCTCTCTCTCTCTGCCCCCCCTTCCTCTCTGAAATCAATAAAAATGTTTTTTTGTTTCTTTTTTAAAGAAAGGCAACTATTGTCCCTTGTAGTTGAACCATATAACTTTCTTTTATGGTATTTTTTATTTCAGCATGGTATAATAATTGATAACATTTCTAAGATCCAGTGGCTTATTAAAACAATTACTGAGCATCTGCTCTGTACCTTGCATCATGCTAGGTATTGGGAGATTCAAAGATGAATGAAAAGTTCACAGGGAGAATGACAATAAGCAAGATATTGAGACAGTGACTTAGAGTTACAGTGGTTGAAGAGCCTTCCCTCCTAGGGTATTGAGGAAGCATCTCTCAGACATTTGGTACCCATGTATGGTTTTAGGGAGACTAATGACCACTGGTAAAATGAAGAAATAAGTAAAATAGCTACTTTATTTTGAGAGGTTAAAGTTCAGGTTTATGGACCTATTTCTGGGCTAAGCTATCATTTATGAGTATAAGTTATAGGTTATAGGATAGAAATTGAGAATTCTAGAAATGTAAAACAGATATAAGGACAGTGACTGATATAAATGGAATGCTGCTGTAATGGAGCCAGGGAGTTTGTATCATGCCTTCTCTATCTCCAACTAGCTTCACTGTCCTTGGCCTGCTGATCAATGTGAAGTTTCCTCAGCTACCACAGTATTAAATGGAGACTGTGCCTCTTGCCCAAAACATTTCACCCACTGTTTTGTTCCTGAAAGTATAAACTTTCCCACAAGTTGATGCCATTCTAGATCTAGGATGGTTCTAATTCTGAGTTTAACAACTTTTGTTCCCAGTGGTCAAGAAAAAAAAAAGGGGGTTGTTTCAAACTCTCTGTTGACTACTATAAAAATGTAATAAAAACAAGTCTATTTTGGTAAATAATTTTATAATGCAGGTTTTTTTAAATCAGATTTGGTCAACAGCTATGCCCAAGGAAAGCATGTATAGTTAAGAATATTTTTATCTTGCCATAAATCTTGTTTGTTTTCTGAGTTTAGTTTATTTTAGTCAGTAGTTAGGATTTTGTTGTAAAACATACTATTTGTTTTTTTAAAGATAAGATGCACTTGAAGTAACACTTATTTCTCTTAATTTTCAGGAATTGTTTGGATTGTGAGCTATTTCAGAACTCTGTTCTCAGGACCCATTATTTTAACATTTGACAGAAACACTTCCAGAAGGTATTGTATTTTGTGTCATTGTTCCATTTTTTAGAAAATGTAGATAAGCCATTTCAATGATAGGAAAGAAGATTATGCCATATTTTTCTACTTATTTTTCTTTTAAGTTTTTGTATTGATAAATTAGATGTTTGATATTTGTAACAGAGGCGTACATTTAAGTGTTGGTAAATTTTGAATTTAGTGTGAGTGAAAGAAATCCGATTTAGATGGAACCAGTTTTGCCTGTTTTAAACATCAGAAGCATTTCACCTTTTCAGTATTGCACAATTTATAAGAATGTTTTGATTCAAAATGAGATATAAAATGTTCCTGTTTTAGACATTGTGAAATATACATTAAATAAAGCAGGCAGTCCTAAGGTCTTCCTACCTATGAAAACTCTACCTTCTATTTTATGGATCAGCTGCCATCTTTCTATCAGTGTTTCATCAGGATCCATGGACTTAGGCAACCAGGTCACCCACCTCTGCCTCTGAATGCCCATCTACTAAATTCCCTGTCTGCATTATCACATGCGGTTAGGTTGATGTAGCATTACAGTTTATCTGCTTGTTGGCCCAGAGTCTCAGAACATGTGATGTATTACTAGGAAGGAAAGGGATAGTAAGATTGTCAGTTGAGCAGCTTACCTGCTTCATGTTCTGTCTTTGCAACCCCCAAACCCATGTGAATACACCAACTAGTTTGACTAGTTAGTGATAAACACGGTTCCATTCAGCCATATTCGAGGTTTCCTTGTTAGTGTCCACCTTTCCACCTCCCTTAAGTCTTGTGTTCAAGGGCGGGGAAGAAAAAGGACACATATGTAATACCCTTTGTAATACTTTAAGCAATAAAAAAACATAAAAAATAAAAAAAACAACAAAAAAACTTGCCAGCTGTCTTGCTTGGAATAGAAAGAAATGAAAGAAGGGCACTTAAATTCATTTAATTAAATGATATATTTTTAAAAATATGTTTATTTTTAACTAGAGGCGCAGTGCATGAAATTCATGCACTTGGGAGGGGGGGTCCCCCAGCCTGTCCTGTGCCCTCTCACAGTGCGGGATCCCCGCGATCTATCGCCCCAAGGAGGTAGGCCCCTCCCACTCATCCGGGGTTCCTCATTGGGTTTCCCCAAAGAGGTAGGCTGGAGCCGGGGGTCCTGCCTCCGCACCATGGGACCCCCAAGCCTCGCTGCACAGAGCCACAGGCCCTGCCTTTGCGCCACGCATGCAGTGTCAAGCCCCTGCCCACCCACGTGCGCATGCAGCCCCACCCACCCGCGCGTGCCCTTTGTGCACACAGTCTCTTGGTGATCTTTCGTTGCGGTATGAGGGTGTCATGGCGTGAGGGCATGACGACCACATAGGCTTTTATTAATAGGATTTTTCGGAGAGACAGAAAGGGAGAGAGATAGATAGAAACATTGATGAGAAAGAAGCATCAATAGGCTGCCTCCTACACGCGCCCTACTGGGAATAGAGGCTGCAACCCCAGGCATGTGCCTGACCAGAATCACACTGGTGACCTCTTGGTTCATGGGTCAATGCTCAACTACTGAGGCACACTGGTTGGGCAAAATGATACATTTCTTAAAGTTGTAGTAAATAGGTCAAATTCTTTCAGTACATATTTACTTTATTAACTGGATATTCATGATTTATATTCACATGAAATAACACAAAAACCAGTTTTACATATTTTCTGAATCACTTGTTAAGGAGTATGAATTTCTAAAATTAGATGAATATAGTTTTTTTTATGTTTCCATAGCATAATATATTGGACTTTTAAATTAGAAACTCTCTATGTTCAAGATTATTTACTTTTAGAGGCCCCAGCCAGACCTGTGTCCTCTCGCAATCTGGGACCCCTTGGGGAATGTCGGGCCTAAACCGGCAGTTGGACACCCCTCTCGCAATCCAGGATGCTGTATGCACCAGTAATCATGCTTTTTATTCAGGTGAAAGGCATCTTGCTGTTGTATGGGCAGCTACATTTTTTTCTCCTGATTATAAAAAGTAGTACATAACATGATTTTTCTGAGGCAGTAGTACCATTTTCCCCATCTTATGGATGGAAAAACTGAAGCAGAGAGAATTGGCTTTGTCACACAGTTACAGGTGTCAGAATCAGGGCTGACCACAAAATGTGCAGATCAGAGTCCATGCATGTTATTGCTGCATCATCCTGTTTTTTTTCAGTGTTAGAGTAGCCTTGCCAGGTTTTAATTTTTAAATCTAAGAGACTGTTCCCAATATATAGGGTAGGGTCCCTAGGCCTGGCTGGTGATCAGGGCCGATTTGTGGGGCGACCGGTGGGCGGGGCGATTGGGGGCCCTTGTTGACAGCCACCTTGGCTGGCGGCCTGGCGCCGCCCACTCGCTGGCCCTCCCCCGCCAGTCTCCTCCCTCTTGGGGGGCAGATGCTGGTCGGGGGAAGCTCATGCATTGAGCGTCTGCCCCCTGGTGGTCAGTGCATGTCATAACGCCCAGTCGTTACGCTAGTTGTTATGCTTTTCGGTCAATTTGCATATCAGGATTTTATTATATACTAGAGGCCCGGTGCACAAAAATTTGTGCACTTGGGGGGGAGGGGGGGTCCCTCAGCCCGGCCTGTGCCCTCTCGCAGTGCGGGATCCCCGCGATCTATCGCCCCAAGGAGGTAGGCCCCTCCCACTCATCCGGGGTTCCTCATTGGGTTTCCCCAAAGAGGTAGGCTGGAGCCGGGGGTCCTGCCTCCGCACCATGGGACCCCCAAGCCTCGCTGCACAGAGCCACAGGCCCTGCCTTTGCGCCACGCATGCAGTGTCAAGCCCCTGCCCACCCACGTGCGCATGCAGCCCCACCCACCCGCGCGTGCCCTTTGTGCACACAGTCTCTTGGTGATCTTTCGTTGCGGTATGAGGGTGTCATGGCGTGAGGGGCATGACGACCACATAGGCTTTTATTAATAGGATTTTTCGGAGAGACAGAAAGGGAGAGAGATAGATAGAAACATTGATGAGAAAGAAGCATCAATAGGCTGCCTCCTACACACGCCCTACTGGGAATAGAGGCTGCAACCCCAGGCATGTGCCTGACCAGAATCACACTGGTGACCTCTTGGTTCATGGGTCAATGCTCAACTACTGAGGCACATTGGTTGGGCAAAATGATACATTTCTTAAAGTTGTAGTAAATAGGTCAAATTCTTTCAGTACATATTTACTTTATTAACTGGATATTCATGATTTATATTCACATGAAATAACACAAAAACCAGTTTTACATATTTTCTGAATCACTTGTTAAGGAGTATGAATTTCTAAAATTAGATGAATATA